ACTGCTCATCAAGAGGTTGTAAACGGTTAAGAGACACCAAAATATAATTTTACCTAGTTATTCAGCCATCAAAAGACTAACCTTATCAACCTATATGAATCCTATAGTTGATCAACATGATAATAATTTTCTTATGTATATTAAAAATAAGTTGCTAGAGAAAAAAATATCTTTAGTTGGAGATGAAGTTTGCCTAAAATCTTATTTTGATTATAAAAGTGGTAATGTTTTCGGTTTAGCCATCAACAGCAATGAGTCTGCAACAAATGATTTTGCTTTTATGCTTAGCAGTGTATTCTCACAATACAAGGATGTTGCATACAATATGCCAACTAAATGTCTTAAAGCTGAAAATTTATTTGACATAGTTAAACTTGTAATAATCGGTCAAGAAGAGATAGGCTTTAGAGTAATGTCAGTCATAACAGATAATAATGCAATAAATAGCTTTCTTTTGATGTCCTGCAAAAGTTTCAATTGTATGTATCCACTTATGAAATTCAGACCTCTTTTCTTCATATTCTTCTCAGTCCATATACTAAAATTCATTAGAAATAAATAGCTTGGTCAAAAAGATACAAATAAATGCACAATGTTCCCAAAATTTTGTCATAATTGTAGTATCATATGCAAATGAGATAGGACAAGCATAAACAGAGAGCAACTGGTGAACAAGACAGCTTTACTCAGCAAATCCATTTGCTAAATATAACATGGAGAATTGTGCTAAGACTGCTACAGAGAGATATTCCAAACATAACAATAAAAAAAAAATCATAATTTAGATAATATCAAAAGTGCACCATTTTTTATTTTACAGAAACTTCATGTCCTGGAATCTGAATCAATTCTGAAATATTGCTATAAATTGACGTCAAAGGCTCTTTCTCCCACTAGTTTTGAAAGGCAGAAGGTTTCATTAGTTTTTCAAATTTTTAACAAATTCACTATTCAGGGACTGCTGATAAATGTTTGCCTAACTTTGCAGAAGTTGCAAAATACATAAACATATTTTATACTTGGTGGACAATACTGAATATAAAAACACCATATATAGGTTGACAGTTTGACAATAAATGTTAATCCACTTAAAGTAAATGATGAAAATTATATATTTCTCAATATATTCTGGAACTTGTTAGAATCTTGGAATAGCATTCCTGGAAATAATAAGAAGCTAACAAATGAAACCTTCACAATTTTGCATCAAGGTACTCATGCAATTCTAGAAATGACCAAATATTGTACAGAAGAATTGAAAATGAAAAAAAAATCAGAATGATGTTAGTTTTAAAATTGAGCCTGTGACTTAATAACCAAAGTACTGATTTGAAGAATTTACAAACTAACTGGATTGAAATGGTAGGTGAGCAAAATTTAGATATTTATAAATTTAACATAGATTTAACAGATGAGGATGTTAATGAATGCAAAGAAGTTGTTCCTGTTATATTATACATAGCAGGCTGTTGCTGTTATACAGTTTTTAAGAAAATGAAAGGCAAGAATTTAATATCTGGAAGTGATAATGAGGACAAAAATCTGAAATAAACAGTTATTTTCTGGGGATTAATAGAGGTTCTCTGCTATAATCTAATGATACTACTACAAATTCTGTTCTCTATAATTATATAGTTATTAGTAAACTGACAAAAAATATTATTTTTTTTATTCAATAAATTAAAAGCAATTAGCCATGCACATAACCTTGAATGTATTGGCAGATAATGATCATCTTTTTCATGTGAATTCTTGTGGTGAGGGCCATGGCATTCAAAAATTAGAAAGAATACTTGTCTGGAGCTTTTTAAATGATCTTTTTAATAATGTTTGTGCTACAAAAAATAATAATATTACTAGAAATAAGTTAAACAAAAAAGAAAACTTCAAACCTTCAGTTTAATTTCCCATATATAACATTTTTTCTACAATTATTTAAAATTTGTCTTATTTTCTACACAACAAAAATGTCAATATTGTAACTTTACTGTCACAGAATAATTAGAAAAGGAAAAAAAATTGTCGATTTGGTTTTAGTTTGCATGTTTTGTTTTAAAGAAAATAGTTTAAATAATTTTATGGAAGCAAAATAAGGAGAACGAATTTTACAGTCTTTAAATTCAAAAGTGAAACACACACTATTTACTTTAACATAGCCACACATGTAAAACTTAAAATAACTTTCCTTTAGAAAATAAAGTTTATTCTAAAGTAAAAATTTGGTTTCTTTCTTTTCTAATAACTGTAACAAAAAATATTCTCTGTCAATATAATACAGTAATTACATAATCATTAAAATAAAAATGGATTTTTAATCTATTTATTGTTTGTTTTTTTATTTATTTACTTATTTATTTAAAGATGTAAGGTAGAAATCGATCCCTGGTTTGCTTTTCTTCGTCTAATATGAAAAATTATTCTGTCAATTCCAGTTGTCACTATCATAACATTATGGAATAAAACTAGGTACCTCCACGAGATCGCTAAAAAAAAGAGCATAGCATGATGAAAAGACGCTAAACTTGACGAAAACAAAATTTTATCATCTAAATGTTTGTTATTATTAAGAGGAAAGGTCAAAGTATTTTTGGGGTATTTTTTCCATTTTTAATCGTTCCTAGCACGTCCGAAATTTTCCTTAAAAATCTAGTTTTTTTTGAGTAAGCAAAATTGACCATTTTTTCCATTTTAAAAAAACTGGAAATCTGACTTTGAAATTTTTTAAATATCAATTATCATTTTTCAAAACTTATTTTAAGAAAATCAGAAATTATAATGTTTATTTAAAATATTTTGAACCAAACTTAACTTAGCTTTTGTGCCAAAAAGATGTAATTTGAAAATAAAACAAAGCAGGTCATAAACTTTCGCGTCTCTTGACATGTGATGAATGATATATTTACGAATTCCATGAGGCTAATTTGTTCTACGGAAGGAGAAAAGTGAAATAATTTACATTTACGTGAACAAATTATTTACCCACTTATTTTTAACGAAAACTTTCAGCGGTCTAATATTTTTTTTTTTTTTTTGTACTTAGCTTTCACCTTTACGTTTAAGATGCTTTATGGGAAATATATTGTAAAGAAATTAAAATAAAACTGTTAAGAGTGACATTAAATTTCATATTTCTTATGAAATTTTATCAGAATTGTACATAAAATACTATAATTTTATGTACATTTATTACATTCTACTGTTATTTGTATTTGCATTCATTTTATTATTAATTTTGATATTTCATTTATGGAAAAATGTCGTAACTGAGATTAATATAAAAATAAGATCATATAAATTTCATAAGATGATACTGATACTTGTAGGTACCCTTCTCAGTTGAAATTGAAAAATAAAATTAACTTCTCCACACGTGTTTCGCAAAAGTAAAGGTCTTAACAGCGGAGAACAATGCTTAACTCAAATAACGCAACTTAATTATATTCTGGTTGGTCTTCCGTATTTTATAATGACAGCTCGATTATAAGCACAAAATTACATTTCTTAATTACTGGGGATCTTCTGATTAGTCAAAATGATACAATTTACAACGCTAAAAAAATCTATCTCATAAGGACACTTATGAAAGCCGATGCGGCTTTTAACTAATTTTATAATATTTTAACAACTTAAATGTAAAATCTATAATAATTAATGAAATAACAAATAATTGTATTAAAAATTCATTTTTCATCGAAAAATTTTTTTTGTTTTCAGAAAATATTGTCCATATTCATAAAAACAACTAAAAGCAAATAAAAGCATTTGAAATTAAATAATATATTTGTTTTATTGAGTTTTGTATGTTACAATTCACAGCTGATTTTCAGGTACTGCGTATCCAATTAAAAACAAAAAAAAAACATGATTTGCATTCCTCAAAGCCCTGTGCTTTTAATTATTGTAATCACTAAAACCTATGCGATCGAATTTCTAGCGTTTTCATAAAATTAGTTATGGGGGGGGGTAATAAATATTTAAAAATATTTCTACCATGACTTTCATAAAAAAAAACATTTATAATAATTTCGATCATCTGTGAATAGTTCCTGAAAGTTTCATTAACATCCGATAATTATTTCTATTTTTGCACGATTTTTCAAATTAATGTGTGTCATACCAAAAAACGTGCTAAAATTGTCTATGTTATTTACTAGTTCCGCTGATACAAATAGAAACAAGGTTTTTTTTAATCAAAATTTAGAATGTTCTAAAAAGGAAAATTTTTTTAAAATAATTAAAAAAAAAAACTTTGGTCTTTCCTCTTAATAATAACATAAGCATTTAGACAATAAAATTTTGTTTTCGGCAAGGTTGGCGTCTTTTTCATCAAGCTATGCTCTTTTTTTAGCGATTTCGTGGAGGTACCTAAATAAAACGTTTTTTATTATTTGCTTGTTTTTTCTTTATTTTTATAAATTAATATTAAATAAAGTTAAGATGAAATTCGAACCCTGATTTCTTTTTTTTAAAAATTGTAATTTAAAAAGTATTCTTTAAAAAAAAAAAAAAAAAAAAAAAAAATTGAATCATTCATTTTCATCAGCTTCACTTCGGCTTATACTACTTGTGGTTACATCACATTTAATCAAACAAGCCTATCGAGGTAGTGTTGATGAAATCCACAAGTTTAAAGGGGAATAATCAAGATCTTCAGCATATCACACTGCAACATTTCAAAATCATTTTGTCTCATTTTCAAGAAATGAGTCAACATGGAATGTCAACTTTATAATTTATTATGGAATACTGGAGTTGCCACATTAGCCATTATTACTGAATTACGGTTAGTCTTCACAGGATAGTCCTATACTCATGGTCTCATGCCAGACAAAATTCAGCATAGCAAAGAAGACACTTCACTATGAAGCAATGGTTACTAAGGTGAGTTTTATAATCGTTTGTCTTCATATGATGAAGACAAGCTTTATGGAACTTGATAAAGTTAAATAAATTTATATTGTCATCATGAAAATCGTTTATTTGTCAAAACTCAAACTCACCGTTCTGTAGTAAGTGGCGGATATTTGTAAAACTGGAACGTGAAAAACATAGTACTTGGTCCTTTGCCAACATCAGTGGATGAATAATCCAGCAGCCTAACGAAAAGCAAAAAAGACAAAAAATATATAATTTTCTGGAGAAAGCAGTCATAAAATAATCAAGCAATCAAAATTTACTCTTGTATGACAATAACAGAAATTTGGAAATTTTTCTAAGGGAATGACTTAAACCTACATTAGATTAGAACTTGGCCTTGTGTTAATTCAGTGTCATCATTTTTTTTTTGCTTTTTATAAAAGTTTTTTTTTTTTTCCACTATTGTTCTAAGCATATAATCTACATTTTTAAAGGAGTTTTGCATTTTCACCATCTTTATTCCTTGGTTACATCTTTCATAAATACAAGTGTTTCAATAAAGAATATTTTTAAAATTTTGAATTGAAACTCACTTTGAAAATGCCAAAAACTGGAACACAATTTCATTACAAGAAAGCGGATCTTGGATTTGTTTAGATAAAGGGAGCATTTTTACTTCTTTCTCTGGATCAATAACTTCAGGAGGATCACCATTCCGATCCAACAGGGAAGTGAACCCAGCATTGTATAGACGAGTGTAGCTAGCACGAGACAAGGACCTTGTGCTAAAAAAGTAGAATACAAATATTAGAAATAAACACATTGCAGGTTCTGTAGAAGTTAGAAAAGTAACTAACAAAAATTTCATCTTTTAGTTTTACCTTCCCTGTCTTCTGTAAACATTTGTTGCAGGTTAACATATTTAGAATAAAAGCAAGTTTGTGAAAAATAGTGTAGACAAAATAAGCATTGACAGAAGTTCAAATAAATTAAGGCAGAGGAATAAAAATTTTCTACTCTTCAATCTTTTAGAAAATTACTTATACATTCCTGTTGAAGATTTTTCATTTTTTAATCATTTCACCCCAATCAAGACAGTAAGACACAAAGGATTACTGAGTGAGAGAGAATATGAAAAAAAAAAAAACTATTAAGGAAAGAGAACAATAAAAGAACAGGAATTAAGTCAGAAGACAGAAATTGAACATTGCATTTAAATTTTTGAAGATCAAAATTGACTGGGAAGCAAGAAGCCAGAGGAGAGTTCCACAAGTGAGAAGCGAGAGAAAAGAAACTCTTAGCATAGAACTTATGGTTACCTCTAGCCATTTCAACTGTAAAATGATGAGAACTTGCTGCCAACCTAGTACCGCACTTACATTCATAAAGTCTAGGTACCATAAAGGAAAGTTCATTAGAATAATTACCATGAAAATATTTATAGAAATGCACAGGGAAGCTACATTATAACAGTGGAATGCCACAGAAAATCTTTTTGTCAGGGAGATTGTAATTCTCACCATTCAGTAAATGTGATTAAAAACACTGGATAGCAAATAAAAAAAAAAATATGAGACACAGATTGCTATTTAAGCTCATATATGCTATCTGAGTAGAGTAATATATTTTTAGTAAAAAGATTTTTTCATAAAACGTCTCAAACACATGAAGAAAAAAATCTGATAACTATCATTATAAATCTAGTGTGTAGCAACCACTCAAGATTTTATAAAAAAAAAAAAAAAAAAAAAAAATCATCTAACCATTTAGCATTCAACATGCCCAATCCTGCCTCATAAATATCAGCCAATCAAAGTCTCACCATGTGACTTCCTGTGTTATTTGCACTGAAGTTGTCATATATTATAGCACAGTATATATGGTGCTAATTATGGCAGGTTGAGAGATAATATTTACTGAGTTAATATTAGTGATTTGCACTTAACAGAAGTGAAAATAAAAAAATAAAAATGTGTTCAAAAAAAAAAAAAAACTTAATGGCGATGTTAATTTTTTGAAAAAGTGACATTTTCAGTTTATGTTGTGCTATTGAATCTTCATCTTCTCCCATCTACATCATTATTTTAAAAGAACTTGCACTGTGTTTCCTCTGGCTCCTTTTAGATCATGCGAATTCAGAGAATCTGTATAGCTTACAATGGAGAAAGAAAAACTTTGTTTTAAGGCATCTAGCTTAACCACATAAAGAGAAGATATTAGTGTATACAAAAATCCCAACATATACAAGTCTATATATAATTTTAAAGTTTTACCTTCTGTGTTGAGTCATTAAAAGTAATTGCATGAAGCGGAAAGAAGAATCAAAGGACACTAGTTGCACTATCCAACATAATTATCTAACCTCTGTTGTTTTTAAGAGAAGAAACAAAAACTCTTGAACCCTCTGCCCCAGGACCACCCTCCAACTATGCAAGCAAAAGGATGCAATATGTTTGAAGATATCAAACATTTGATGCTGCAATATCAGAATCAGAATATTCAATTGTAAACCTATTCATCACTGGTCCTTTATGTTAGAAAGGTTGAGAAAAAAAAAAAAACTGCATTTATAATATCCAAAGCAAACATGGAAAAGTATCCAGCTCTTTAGATTCAAACTCAAAAACCATGGTCAGTGAAAGGGACTTGTGGGCCTCCCAAATCTATGATACAGCACCCGACTTTACTATATCTCAATTTTCATAAGGTAGTATCCATATAAAATATAAATTTTATTGTAAGCTAATTATGTATAATAATGGATCATATGCAATATAGGTGAACAATTCAACTGAAAAAAATCAAAAATAAATGCAATTACAAATTAGGGACATGTCATAACAGATTATTCCATCTTAAATAAATCAAAAATGTTTTGTAGCAATTTTTAACATCAACCTGAGATCTTTCCTGATAAAAAAGTTGAACAATTTTAACAAATTCAACATTATGGATTAAAAAAAAAAAAGGGAATTTTATATAGTGTTTTTTCAAGACTTAACAAAATAAATTCACAGATTTGACCAACAAAACTAAAAACCCCAGAATGACATCAAAATCCACAAAAATTGTTCATCCTTTAATAATAGTCTGTTGTGATTAATTTAATTTGTAACATAAATGTAAGTAGAAAAAAAAATCACATGTTGATAAGATAGTGAGGATCACAAAGCACAGACCAGGGCCCAAAATCATGCAACGTATATTTTTTCTGCATTTTTTTCTTTTTAAGGATTCTAAATCTGGCAAAAGTTGAAGAAATGATTTGTTAAAATATTGTACTAATAATATCAAGAACACAATGAAAAAACTCACATTTAAAAAAACTCACATTTAAAAAACGTTAAAATACAAAGCTTAAATTAAAATCAGCAATTTCATGCTGAACACAAATAGCATTTATTTTTTTAACCAATTAACCCCAAGCAAGACAGGAAACATGGGATAAACCTCTATTCCTGTTCAAAAGGCTGGGGAGGAGAGTGAACCTATCTACTCCTATTGAGGAGAAGAAGAAAAATAAATAGTAAATAAACTTTCAGTGTTAATGCATAGATGTTAGAAGTACAGAGTTGAAGTAGACTATAGAAGGAAACAGAAACCCAATCATAAACAGGAATCAAGGAATAAACCACTACTCCTGTTCAAAAAACCTGGGAGGAGTATGAACCAGGTAGTAGGTAAACCTAGCTTAATTATTTCAAAATTTGATTGCTTTATACTTGTTAAATAAAAAAGAAATAAAAAAGCTAAGTACACATGAGTTATAAAAAGTACCCAAATTTCGATAACACATCTGTTTATTTCACATCACTATATTTTCCATATATTTTTTTCTTTTTTAAGAATATTAAAATTATAAATTTATCACTAAACAACCCCATCACAGTAACAATAACTGAAGAATACATCATCCTCAAATGTTCCAACAAATAAAAAAAAAAAAAAAAAAATCCTCACCTGTCTGTTTGGGGTACTTGTACTACCACAGAGGCATGGGATGGTGTGTATTGTAATTCTGTCAGGTCTGTGGTTGTCAAGGCACCCATTTGCTGCAGAAATAAATTTAACTCATTGAGATGATTTACATGAAAAGATTTTCCACTTCTTGCTTCCAGAAAGTGATAATTTCAAATAAAGATGATGCAAAATTTGTTACTGAAGTTAAGGTTCAAATAACACACAAAAGGCTGTTTATTGTCAAGATTTCAAATATTGGAATTTAAAAATCAAAATAAGCATATTAATGAAGTTTAACACACATTTTTATTAATTTACATATTAACCATGTGTTGGCAGTTCAGTTTTTAACCACCCACTAAAAATAAAGATAAATAAAAATCATTTTTAGTACTTTAGAAAGAATTATTTTATCAAAGTAAAATATGTGCACACTATGGGACTTTAAAAATTTAGAGCCACCCTCAGGATTTTGAAGGATCTCCTAAAAATTGAAGGTTATTTGCCTTTTTCAAGACTAATTTACTAGCTCACTTGTAGGTAGAGGGACTTTATCTTCCTGAAGGGTTTTATCATATATTCAGTAATCATAATAATAATGAAATTAATCCATTACTGCATAAAGTTTCCTTAAAATTTTAGCTCTTTTTGCTTAATCAACCTTGTTGGATAATGATAAGTTTTGGGTCACTGGATTTAAAATTTTAGATAACCCTCTCTAAAAATTGGATGCCACATGCTAATGGATTAAATAGTTTCAGCATCCTAGTTTAATTCGGGTTAATTAAACTAAAGGTACAAAACCTACTAATTATTAAATCTAAACGGTGAGATCAAAATTTTATCCTAGAGTGCATATGAAAAAAATTAAGTCCCAAAATCCAATGTATCGAAACTATATCCTTTTAAAATTAACAACGTAAGCATAATGTTTATGAAATGTCATATTAACAAAATAGGAATTGTATGCAAGACCTGTTAAACAATAACCAGTTCTGTTGTTTCTTAAGCATACATTAAAAAAATTATAATAATAATAATAATAATAAAATAATCTGCAGTATCTTTAATATATTGTTGGAGACTGTTAAGCAACTATGCAAACCCTCTGCCTCAGGAACCCCCAACTATGTAAGTACAGCAATACATTTGAAGATATCAAAAGGGGATGCTGCAATATCAGAACGGTATTCAATAGTAAACCTATTCATCACTGGCCCTTTATGTTAGAAAGGTTGAGAAAAAAAAACCTGCATTTATAACATCCAATACAAGCTTGGAAAAGTATCCGACTCCTTAAAGATCATTAAAAAAACTATAATAATAATAAATGTAATAATCTGCCGTGTTGGAGACTGTTAAGCAACTATGTAAAAGGGCTTAACAATAATAATTGAACTCTCTTTCTCTCCCTCTGGAAATGCTAACTAATGAGACTATAAAAGAAAATCTCTCCAAGTAGAGGGCAACCCAACTGCAACCACTAGAGAGTCTAGAATGAGATTAATGCAAAACATTTTCAGCAGGTAAATAAAAATAGCAAGAATGTTTAATACATTCTTGCTGTTTTAATTTCACTGCTGAAAGGGGAATCAATTTTATTTATGAAAAAGTAAAAATTCATTTAAAAAAAAATCAGAAACTTGTTTTTATAATGTAACACTTCACTGTGTTGAATAAAACTGACAGAAAACAATCAAACAAACAACAAAAAAAAAAAAAAGACAACACACAAACCTCTGCTAATTGGCCGACAACAGCAACTGGATATTTTGAAGCAGTGACTTGATGTTGAGAAACACCTGTAAAAGGTGTAACATTAAAACTTGGCTGTTGTTGCATATTCATTACAGGTGAAGTAGATGGATAAGCAGCAGCTGTGTAACCAGCCATTACATGAACACCTTGCTGTGGAACAGAATGGAGTTGTTGATGCTGTTGTGGTGGTATCTGTTGAAGCAAGTGGCTCTTATTGGTTTGTAACCTAAAATGAACAAGTAACAGAAACAAAGAAAATACAGAAAAGGATTTATTAAAATGTATCATGTTATTATTACAATTAAAAACTTCAATGCTATAGGGATGGTTTGTTTTTTGTTTTTTTAAATAGTCAGTTCACTGTGTCATGCAAGACAATTTTTCTCTCCAGAATCTATCTTACATATCTATAAGTCTACCATTCATCCATACTTAAAATATTACTGCCACATATTGTCCAGTGCCCTTGCTATTTACTTTGAGCTCTTCGATAAGACCCAAAGAAGAATCAGCAATATTATTGGTCCTGATCTGGCGACATGGATTTAGTCACTTTCCCAGCACCATAAGGTTGTCTATGTCTTTTCTATAAATACTTTCATGGTAATTGTTTAAATTAGCTCTTCGCTATGGTCATGAATTTAAGTGCAGTACAAGAATGTGATCAAGATCTCAAAAAGTGAGAGTTGAGCTGGCTAGATGTAGCTGTAAGTTCTATACTAACAGTTTCTTTTCTCACACTTCTCACTTGTGGAACTCTTTTCCAGGTCCATATTCTCCAGCCAACTTTAATCTGCAAAAATTTAAATGCAATGTCAATTGCTATCTATTGTCCTCCTGTTTATTCTCTTCTTTTTCCACTCATTATTAATGTTTCTGTTTGTAATTCCTCCACAACTTATAACCCCTTGTGTTTTAGTAGCTTTACTGCCTTGCATCGGGTGATACCGATTTAAAAAAAAAAAAAAAAAAAAAAAAAAAAAAAAAAAAAAAAAAAAGGATATTTTAAAATAAAAGTGGTATGTAGACAAACATTATTCCATACTTGACAGCATTATTACCTAAAAAGAAACCTACATTGCTGATCAGTTTATATTCTACTGATGTACTTGTAAAATCATTGTCATAGAAATATATTTGTGCCACGTTAATAAATCTAATGGAAAGAGAAAAATTACTGACGTGCTACGAAATGTCATTTTATTAGCAATGATATTAATATTCCATGAAAGAATAGGATTCCTTGTATCCGATTAAAAGATCAGGCAAAAGGTCAAATTATTATTATGACAGTTCTTATTCTATGTGCTGTACTTCATCATGGCTCTCCACAATTCTGGCTCTTTGTAGCTCTTTTTGCTATCTCTCCTAATCCCTGTTCTGCCTACCATTTACAGAAGCTCATTAGGTAGGTTATTTGCTTCTTTCCACAGTCTCTCTTACCTTCAATATGTCATGTGTGTGTCAAATTTTCCAAGCCCTCTTTCTCATTATGTGCCATAGAAATTTCAACTACCTCTTTCTGATAAGTATAAGTGTCCTTTTTCTTTACATCTTCTCTAAAACTTTGTTGTTGCTTACATGTTCAGTTCATGGGATTCGCAGTACCCTTCCATAGGACAACATTTCTATTGCCTCAAGTCTCTTCATCTGTAAGGAGATTGTCCCGCATTCAATGCTGTATATGAGGACCAATATTACATCACAGTTCAGTTTTTCTTTTCTTTGTTTCTAATGAAATTTTCATGTTTCTTAATACTTTGCTTAGCTATTCCAATGCATTTTCATATTTCAGTGTTGCATTTCTCATCATCTGTTTAAACACTTTCAAGAAAGTTAAATTTTTACACTTTCTTGATTTTTGTAACCCCAATTTGTAGTTCACATCTTGGACGGTTTCTTTGATTGACAACCACATATTCTGTCTTCTTAAAACTGATACTCCTTTCTTCTTGCTTTTCTTTACTACCTTCTGTACGAGTTTCTGTAGTTTAATTTCTGTATCTATTATCAGCACTACATATCGTATATATTGCCCAGATTACAGCCACCAATAATGCATACTGATATGACTTCTAATTTTCTCAGAATCACTTCACTGTAAAAGTTGAATAAGTCTGGAGAGAAGACACATCCTTGTCTTATGCCCCTTTCTATTTTTGTGTATTTACTGAATTCATTTTCTATTCGTATGCAGGTGGTTTGCTCTTAGTAAAAAACTACATTTTTGTTTAATCATTTGTCCTGGTAATTCATAATTTCATAATCAATTTTAAATTTGTATACAAAATTTAGTTGCTAAAGAGTAAACATTGAAACATGAAAATATTAATATTTGTGATTGTTTTGGAAAAATCCTAATTAGAATTTCAGGTGGATTATTTTTCTAAAGCAGGAAGTCTGGTATCAAAAGTCCCCTCCCACCTGGCATCAGTAAAGATTAAAATTAAACTGGTTATATAAAGTCCTGTCTTTTCTATATTATTCTGAGAAAGACACTTACAGTAGAAGATACACATTACCTGGACCACCTTTTCACATGAGGTTTCAAAATGAATTATATAATTTTTTGATGAAGTTTAATTCAAACATTTACGTGTATGTTTTACTAAAAGTGAATAATAAAAATAAATAAAATTTAAAAGAATATCTAGAAAAATTTTTTAGCACAAATGCAAAAACAAATTTAGATGGATAGATGAAGTTAAAGGAAAAAACTATCATGATAAAAATCAAATACTGCTAGTTTAACATAAAACTTTATTGATTTTTCTATTGCAATAATTATTAATAGATCTGTTGGTAGAAGGTACCTTGTGATAAGTCAGTGTTATTTAGAAATGTGTAAAATTACTGAAAGCAGTAGACAGATATGAACAAGTGTATTTATAAATAATACAAATTTGGTTGAAAGTAACAAAAAAAACTTCGTATAAAAAATAGAAGTTTAATTTTTGCTCTTAGAGTTTACTGGATAGCAACTGCAGAAATAATTTGTAATTGTAAGATTGAGCATTTTCTGCTGATTAACCAGCTGTTTTCACATTTTAAATTTAAACAATCATTATTTTTACATTAGAATGAAATCTACATACATCTGAAATAAGAAAATTTTCAAGGTGTTTGTGTTAAAATGAAGATTGAGATTTAGAACACTATATGATTTTGTGTAAGGGACTTTTGTGGGAGGTTACCAGACCGAGTTGCTTCCCTTTGTAATTAGAATTGCTGTAGGATTCAAAACATTTGTCTAAGGAACAAATTGGCTAAAGAAGATATGTCTAAGAAATATTTATCTAAAGAATTATGGTCTAATGTGGGATGTTACAAACACGTATTATTGGATTCTTAGTATTAATAAACAAACAATGCATGTCAATAAATGCTTATAAACCACATGTATCATCAGTAATTAATGTTGCTATAAGTGTTTTAAATATTATTGTGTAATATAGTGAATATCAATAAAAAATGTATTTTGTACATGAATAAAGTGTTGCATAAAAATATTATAGAACAATGGTCCTTAGACGGGTATTTCATGGACCAATGTATTCCTTTGACCAATATTCTTTAGACGAATGTTCCTTAAACCAATATTCTTTAAACCAGGAGTGGGCAAAAAACTGTCGCAGAATACGCGTGGCTCATGACAGAGTTTTCTGCAGCTCATGGAAGCATTCGGCAAGTAAAGACTTCCACATCAAAAATTTTCATAAATTGATCACTGTGAACTTTGAGTTCTGAGGCTAATTTGAACTGAGACATGCTTCCCTTGAGTTAAAGAAAATTAGCTCAATGTTTTAATAGCCAGATACCTACTGTGCATGCGCCCATTCATATGCATGAGCAGTCACGTTGCCGGCAATTCTGTCTCATTTCAGTTTTCTAAGATTTGTAATATTCCGACCCAAGTGAAACATGGGCCTTCCTAAATAGCACAAAATCAAAAAGAATGCCATGGAAACACAAATATTTCTTCAGTAATTCATAGAATGAAGCAGTTTATGTCACAAGACAGTTGTCATATTCAAAGAATACAATTTGAAACAACACCACCAAACAAGATGCCAAGTTCAGTAGTGAAATGTTTCAGGAAGAACACAAGAAAAAAGCTGCTGTGTGTGTTATGAAGCTGAAGAATCAACAGACCATATTTAAAGGCAATCAACACTTCAGGATAATGCTACAGAGTCAAGCTTCATGGTATCATAAAACATGTCTAAAAAACATGCCATTTTCTGATGGAGAGTTTGTTAAGCAGTGCTTGATAGATTGCATAAACATTCTGTGCTTTGATACGAGAAGCAAATTCAAAACCATTTTATTATCAAGAAGGACTATAGTGCATCACATCGACTTAATCAGTGATGAACTAACAGAACAGCTGAACTACTGCAAGCAAAGATTTTGTTTGGTTTTCTTTGGCACTGGATGAGAGCACTGATAATCAAGATGCTGCACAGTTACTTATCTTTATCCATGGACTTAATAAAAATTTTGTCATCACAGAGGATCTACTTAGTTTGGAATCAATGAAAAATGTAACTACTGGTCAGGACTTTTTTGAGTGTACTGTGGATTGTGTGGAGAAAAGTACCTTGTCATGGAATAGAATGGTAAACATTACAACAGATGGAGCCAGAACATTTACTGGAAAAATGTGGGTATGATTAAACTTTTAGAGAACAATTTAAAAGCTAGACAGTGATACCTTGTCTTTTCATTGAATTTTACACCCGGAAAGCCTTTTTAAAGCTGCACAGGCCTAAAGCATGTGGTAGATCCTGTAGTGAGCATGGTGAACACAATCACAACAAGGGTGCTCAACCACTGACAATTTAAATCTCTGCTTGAGGACACAGAGAAATGATTTATCCCAACAGTGTTTGGTGGTTGAGCTTGAGCCAAGTCCTAAAATGGGTTTGGGAATTACAGAATGAAATCCTCCCCTTTCTGGACATAAAGGGGATTTCATGTGATTTTGTGTAAAAAAGTGGATGTGAGGAGTGGAGATATGAGATGATGTTTGCAGCAGATATGTTTGAGAAATTAAATGAATATGACATTGCAGGGAAAAAGGCTGTTTGCACATGAAATGTTGAGGAATATGAGCTCATTCAAAAAAAAACTAAGTTTATTTGTAAAGCAAGCAAATGAGAGTAAGTTTTGTTATACCCACTTTTTTAGGAAAATAGAAAGTGCATGCAAGTGTTTCATCCAAGATGAGGGATAATTTGCTGAGTTTGGAGGATGAGGTCCCAAGAACATTTCAGGACTTCAAGAAATTTGAGCCTGAATTCAATTTGTTATTTTATCCTTTCACTGCTGATATTGACACAGTACGTGAGGAGGTGAAGCTTGAACTAAATGACATGCAGTCAAATAACACACTGAAAGAAATGTTTAATTCTGTGATATTGATAGAATTTTACAAATCTCTGACTAATGATATATGTGAAGAAATTTACTGGGAAAATGTCTTCTATTTTTGGATCTACATATATTTGTGAGCAAAGTCTTTCTTGCATTAAAATCAACAAGAGTAAAAATAGATCTGTGACAGATAAACTTGCAAGCAACCTCACTCCAGATAAAAAAGTGTTAGTGTTTACATCTGTCTCATTAAATTACTTGTGTTGACAGATATGTAATTAGCACATACATTTAATACAACCTTGTCTGTGTCCCATTATTGTTTTAGTTTTATTTATTATCATTATACTATTTACACTTTGCATTAGATGAAATGTAATATGAACTATTGAATATGTTTTAGAAGGTATGGCCTTTTGCTAACCACAGGCATCTCAAAGTGGTCCCCCAAAGCAAAACAATTGCCCAACCCTGCTTTAGATGAATGTTCTTTAGACAAATGTTCCTAAATATGTTTGAAACTATTAAATGCATGCGCAATGTCTTGACACTAGTGACTTTGAAATAGTAAAATTATTTTTGTGGTAATGCCTCAGCTTTGTTTCTTAATTGTATAATACATTAATAAATCCAAACACTCTTACTAAAAATGCTGTATTTTTTAAATTTTAATCATGAGGTCTTCAAAGATTGGGAGTATTTCCAAAGAGCCAACATAATATAATAGAGTCTTTGTTGAGAAGGATCTGGTGAATGAAAGTGTCTAGAGCATCAGTGCAATAAAATATTTTTTCATCAATATGAATGCAGATCATGCAGTTTAGCCAAACTGTCATCCAAATTTGTTTCATAGAAAAACTGCTGTTCAAACAAATATATTTGGGCATTAATTTCTCTTATTATACTCAAATATGAAATTGAAATATCTAAAGAGTATATAATCTATTCTGACATCAGATTCTTGCTACACTTTATTTTATGGACTTGTATACATTCTTCACTTAATATTGCTTTAATATCTGTGTTGCACACATCTTTTTTTTTTATAAGTATTTCACTCCAAGCAAGGCGGAAGTGCCACTAGCATACAAGGGGTTACAAGTAAGAGGAAAGGTGGGTGGATAAAATAAAGAACAGGGATCAAGATCAAGGCATTAGATGTTGATTTAAATTTTTGAAGATCATAGTTATGAGGGAAGCAGGTAAGAAGGAAAAGAAGGGTGGATAAAGCATAAATTGTTTCAACAGTAAAAAAAGTGGAATCAAGATGCCAACCTAGTAGCACACTTAAATTCATGCAGTTGGGGAACCAGTGAAAATAGCTTGTCAAAGCAGTTGCAAGGAAATTATATGTAAAAAAAAGACAGAGGGAAGCCACATCACATCTGTGAGAAAGTGACTGGAGTCAAGATGCCAAGTCAGAACTGATTGTTTTGCATATCTGTCTTTGGATTTTGCAAAGAACCTTGAGATGAACAGCAGAGGCACCAGACCATATATGGCAACAGTATTCAATGCATGGATGAACTGAAGACAGGTAGATGTGAAGGATGGACTCAGATGATGTAGTTGTTCCACCTCAAGTCAACACTATTCAATGCATGGATGAATTGAAGACGTGTAGATGTGAAGGATGGACTCAGATGAGAAAAATCTTCTGGCACGACAGAGAACCAACTTTCTTTGTGGTAGATGAAGCATTTTCAATTGTTGTTCCAAAGTCAGTGGAAAAAGTAGACCAAGAAGGTGCAGTGAGACGCTTTCATGAAGTTAAGCATGAACCATGCTGATAGAAGGCAGGGTGGCTCCTCTGTGGTGGTTAAATGAGAGCATTTCTGTTTTGGAGGCATTAAAATTTTACAAGCCATTTCCTGCCTCAGTCAAGAATCAAATCTTAATTTCAAAATTTTTATTCAAATGACAGCTCAGAATAATATGCAAGGGGCAGCAATAATTTAATATCAATTGCAAAGGAGAAAAAAAGTTCCTGATTTTGAGCACAAGAACAAAACAAGAATTTTTTTTTTAAGTTTCAAATCTTTATATATAATTTTAATATTGCATATTACAAAGAAGAATAAAAAAACAAGAAATAAAGTGCCTTACCTGGGAGATTGTGATGGTAAAGGTGGTTTGCCCGTAACATTTTGTCGTGTGAGATTCTCAGTTTTCACAGTCAGATCCTCCCCAGCACTGCTATCATAACCCTGATTGCCATCCAAGGTAAACAGAAAATATATTGGACAAATAGGACTTTAAATTCATATAATTATGCATGATAATAAGCAATAAAAAGTTTCAATTTACATGAATTAGTAATGAAATGTGTTGGATGTCTATAGAAGCAGTACTTTCTTGTAACAGAAGAAAAAACACAAACATTTTTCTAATGAAGAACAGTCTTTTCTTTTTCTCATGGGGAATAGTAGAACAATGAATTTATAACAGATATAGAAATGTATTGCACTAAATCAAATTCTACTTTCAAATTTACCAATTTAAAAATAAGAGACGATTTCAACTACCAATTTCTTCCTTTTGGAAAACTGGTGGAGTTAAAATATACATTTACAAAGTTTTGTATTGTTTAGCATAATTCATAATATCAAGGCACTTGGTTAAAATCATACACACCAATATGAATAACATAACTAGATTAGGGCTTATCACTCCAAAATTTATATCCCAATAAAATCATTGACCATGGAATTTTCAAATGAATTAGGATTACCAAGTCTTTAACAAATCCATAAAGAAAGAAAACCTTTTAAAGTCAACTGTATGCATCAGCCTTAAATATTTTACAAATATAAAAAATAAACAAAAATTTACTCACATAAAAAAAGCAGTGGTGTGCATAAGAAAAGTTTAATTTACACAAATTCTTAAGTGAAGTACTTTCATTATTCTAGATATTATTCAGACTCATATCACATTTTTGTTTGTTTTTTTTTTTTTCTTGTAACAGTTTAGTCAATAGGCTCTTCAGCCCTCTTCAAGTATATACTACATCTCGTGGTCTTTGAAGTTGTTATCAGTTTTATATGTAAAATCAGTACTTTTTTTTTTCCAACATATTGGTTGAAAAAAAAAAAAAAAAAAAGTACTGATTTCTAAAGAATGCTATATTCCTGAAGAAGGCCAAGAACAGAGCAGCTGAAAAACATGACAAAAATGAAGATACTAATCTACATAATGTGTGGAATAATAAAAATATTTCATCTTAGAAAAGCAAACAACAGTTACAGAAGTGCTGTTAGCAAACCTAAGTAATGAGTCCATTTGTATAATTTATAGATATGTTTATAAAAAGAAAAAAGAAATTTTGCACTGACCTGTTCCTGCAATAGGACTCTAAACTGAATCATTCCTGGTGCCAACCGAGCCAAGTGTTCATCATGCATTTCGGTAGAAGGTCCTTTGTACACAAATACTTCATCAGGATTCGGACATGGTCCAGCAAACAAAGGAACATTGAGCAAGTTGCCAACCATTTCTTGGCCTGAACTAGTCAAGTCAAATGGTTTCCACACACACCACCTAATGAGCAATACTCTATTCAAGGCACGTGGCATGGAATGAACGAGCTGAAAGAAAAGGATTTATTAATGCTTGAGATGTGAATAATAAATTCAGAAAGCTGCAGAAGAATTTCTCAATACTTTAGCAGCCAATGACAGGAGAACATCTTTTACTAATGATAACTGGTTTTATTTTTAACCAAGTAGTACTAAAATATAAGTGAAGCATACTTATTTTTGCAGCACGGTTTCATCCTTTTCAAGGGCCAGAGTCTACTTGAGGCAGAGGGTTATGTTTGGGGGGACCATTTGTGTGTATAGGAGTGGAAAATAACAGTTAACTCTAGCCTTGAACAGGTCAAGATTGTAGTGATTGAGGAAACAACTTGTTAGAAGTCGGTTCCACATGGCAGTGGTTCACTGGATGAAGCTGTTTGAGTAGAACTTACTTCTCACCAATGGAATACAGAGGGAATGTGGGTGGTTTTCTGATATGTAAGTAACATACTTACATCATTTAACAACAAAATCGGTTTAGTCCAAAGACAGTGTAGAGTTAAATGAAAAAAGTATTTGATGAAGATTATTACTGTTTTTTTTCTGATTAATCATTCAGAATTTTCATTTGATGATATTTAACTATACTATTAGCATTAGTAAAAGTTGACAGTCAATCATAGTGAACAAAATCAGACAATGCCAGGTTGGTAACAATATCAACAATAATGTGAGAATCAGATTTCATTTATGTAGAACTGAAAGAAAAAAAAAATAACCTCACGCCACTTGTCATCTCTCTAATCAAAATTCTAATTAACTTAATCAAAAACCTGAAAATGGTTGCGTTATTCCACTAGTCCTCCCACTAAGATAGAAATGACTGGTATACGAAAAAGTAGCAAGATGAAGTGTTTCATTACACTGGTATTAAAGGATTATCAAGTAGAGGATAAAAGGTTGTGGATTTTGAAAACAAGCAGATATGTTTATTAAACTTGTTTTATTATAATATATATGTTTTTAAATGACATGTACCTTCTGGGTGGGAGTAATTAGGGATTCTTTTTTTCTATGAATTACCATAACTTCTTGGGAAAGATAGTGAAGTGGTTTTCTGTTGTCTTCACCAAGGTTTGGAATTCAGCTTCTTTTTGACAGGTTGCTACCTAAGGCCAGAGAATCCAGTCTACCCTACCATTTAATCCACATTTTGGGGGAGAAGAGATGGATTCATGCCTTTCCTAAGGGCGGCTGAATGAAAGTGAACACACCAGGCAAGACTGAAATTTGAACTTGGCTTGCAGATTACCTTTTCCATACAGATAATCCCTACACTTCCAGGTTTATAGGATTAAAAAAAGAAAAAAAAGATACTGGAGATACACTTTAATTCTTAATAGCTACAATATTTTTTAAAAATAATTTTCTAATTATATTTGGTATTAGTTGTTTCAAATTTGAATAAGGTATTGTTTCAGGAACACAAAATATGCATTTTTGGGAACAGTCAACAAAGAAAGAAATATGAAATTTTTGATAGTCAAGAAGTTTCAATAGGAGTTACAGCTGTCGCAAAGAAAAAGTGAAACTCTCACCTTCATATGTTCTTCCATAAGTGGTTCAGTCACAACATATTCCAAGGAAAATACTACAGAACATTGAGGAGAATCTACTAGATTCTCTAGGAGACATGGAGAATTCAAAAGCAAACCAGTGGCTGAACTGGAACTGCAAACATTAAAAAGAGAAAAAAATGCACAAAGAAAAAGGCAGAAACTAGTTTCATTAACTAATTTTAGCATTATTGTTTAACATTATCAAATAAACAATAAAATTGAGAACAAAATAAAAAATAACATCATTTATTAGATACAAATAAATATACAAGCTAACATTTAGAATGACTTCACTAATAATAAAAACATTGTCATAAAAAAGTTAACATTTAATTGAATTGAAAAATTCATACAAAGAGGAGAGTATAATATCTTATTGCCTGATAACAATAAAAGCCAGTAATTAGAAAACATTGTAGGAATACAGAAGGTGATTATTTGGTGGAGGTAAGTTACATGGGTAACTTGATGGCTGCTTAGTGACATCACTTCATACATTAACAAGAGTAGCCAGTCATTTAGTTTGTTGACATCAGTTGCTTTTTTTTTTTTTCTTTTTTGGTACAATTTACAAGTCCATGGTGCTGCTTCCTTTTGGGAATATATCTTACCCAGATATAGAAAGAAATTCCAGCTCACTGTTCTCACTTTACAAAAACCCAAGACTCACCATTTCTTCTTCATGGAATATGTCCTTGCTTGCTTGGATCTGGAGTCTTAAACATGGCTTCTCCAGAAACACAGAAGAATTTCCATATTATATGTAAAACCCTTTCTTTTTGTTTCTCCTTACACTCCGATTTTCCATGTAGATATATGTGATATTTTTCTCTGGGTGGGACACCTGTACATTTATATATACAGCTTTATGTATGTTTTAGTGGTATAAAAGTCTCTCTGAGTACAATGTATGTTAGCCATTCCTTTCCGTCCATAAAATACGGTGTTATTATATCATGGATACAATAATACTGATAATGGGGGCAATGTAAATGGGAGAATAATCCTTTCTTGCATAGCTCTCTCCTGTTATAACATAAATGTGGCATGTATAGAAGATAGTAGTTAAAAAATGAATTTCTATTCATTTAAAAAAAATAATTTCTTAGATTGCATAGAGGTAATTCAAACAGAACAATAACTTGAGAGACTATTCACCTGTTTGAACTTCCTGACGGGGTTCTGCGATGCATGACCCGACGTCTTACACTTGGACTGGACTGGATCCTGCTCACAGAGTTAGAAGAATTACCATAATCAAGATCAAGATGTACTGTATGCTGCTTACCAATGTAGCTCCATCCATTGTGGATAGAAATCTGAAAGCAGAAGATTACAATATTCTGTATCAAATATGACTGATTGTTAGCCAACACCCAACTTTGTCATGGGAAATACAGGCTTACAGGAGGTTATCTTTTGCCAAGATGATTACTTATAAATCAACTCATTTCATTAAAAAAAAATCAAATACCAATGCAGAATTCACATTACCAATTAACAAAATTTTAAATAAAAGCTAGAACCTCACTATACATAAATTAACAACCTTGGTTTCACATGTCCACAGTTGGTCAAAATCAGAAAAGATTTTGTGCTCAAAATGTTAAACTACAACTACTTTGAAAAATAAGGAATAACGTATCAACATTGAAAGAAAAATATATAAATCTATAATGATAATAATAGTTGCATCTTGAAAATATAAAATATATAATCAATATAAATGTTTTCAAATTTTTCAAGGTTTGAAGCATCAGATCCAACTCAAATTAAGTAAAAAATAAATAAATTCATTAATTGCTGAAAAGTATTTGTCTCATTCATTTAACTTTTAAAGTTTGTTTATCGTAATTCAAATATATTTCTAGGTTAAAGGGGGAGTTGTGTCCCTTGCGTTATCTCATGAGCTTATGGTATACAGTAAAATATTCTTAATTGACTTTACAACAGTTCAATATACATAATAATTCATTTTTTTAGGCTAAAATTTTGGCATTTTTCTTCCTAGCAAAAATAAATAAATAAATAAATATGAATTATATTTTTAAAATAAGGTGTTGATTTCCCAGCAAATATTTTAGGACATTTTTTTTTAAATCATTTCACTCATTTTCATATGAAAGCCACTAATACACAAGGAGTTACTATGTGTAAAAGAATAAGAAAAATAAAAACATTTTTAAGGAGAAAGAATAATAAAAGAACAGGAATTAAGATAAGATAACAATTGACATTCAAGAAGAAAAGCATGAGCTGACTTACCTTGAGCCGACGTTCCGCAATATTTATGCATTGGTTTGTTACTGTGCCTGTTGTTTGCTTACTGCTGTTATAATGATCCTCATTCAACAGCTGACACAGTTCCTCTTCAAATTTGCTCACATTAGGAGGCACTGATAGCATGATATTATGCAGTTGACACGAAATTGTAGGGGCAAGCTTAGGTTTACGAAAGGCATCACCTATTAAGAGAGAGCAGCACATCAAATTTACATCGTCAATTTTTTTCTTTGTGTCTTTCTTTTCATATTTTAAATTCAATCTAGAAATAAAATATGTTCTAAGTCCTAAAGAATGGCATAACTTGCAACCATTTTCTCTGATCAATGGTTAAAAATGGCTTTGAGCAAATGAAGCCTGTAGGTCTTAGTAAGGACTATCCTTCTTTATAAATTATGTGGACTGCTGCTACAGTATCACAAAGAACTATAGTAAATAACAGAAACATCACTTGAGCACTTTCAACAACAGTTAAAATGAAAAGCACATCAAACTCAAAGAGAAAGTAATGATATAATCAAGATGTTGATGTTCCACATTACTTCAAACAAAAGGTTAGGAAAGAAGCCCCTATCGATACTGGAAAGAGCAATAACAGTTACTGGATTTGAGAAACTTATGCTCCAGAAAAAATGTTTTAAGAGAAAGACTATAAATTTCAACTGTAGCACTATCTGCTCAATCAATGAATGCCAAATGTTTCCTTTTAAGGAAACCACTATTAGGATTAATAAACTGATCAATATAAATAGTCAATGACAACCACATGGAATATATTTAACCACCCACCTACCCCTCCTGAGAGACAAATTTGAGAATAGAAACGAAAAAAAAAAATGGCCCATTTTGAAAACTGTTCTTCAATCAGGTTGGCACCTGGAGTTGAAATTCTACGATTACTTCCAATCCTTTCCATATCGTAATAAGTGTCGAGGAGGTCCAGCTATAAAGCAATAGTCCATCATCTAATGTCTCAAAGAAGCACCAAAATGTTCCACTTATCATTAAGCCATTGTATCTGGGAGCAAGGCAGAGTTAAATGAAAATGTAAGGTTATGATCTACTTCGGTCTTCCAGCAGATCACAATTGTTGTAGATTTATTTCATTTATTATTTCTGTAATCATGAAATAATATATTACTTCTGCTTTATCTGTGATACTCATTCTTTCTATTTCTGCATATTTTTCATTGAGACATTCCTCTTTAGCTTGCCTGCATTTGTTCTTTATTTTTTTGTGTAATTTTCTATATTCAGTTCCATGTCTTGGTATTGTTTTTTTGTCTCCTTTGCATCATGTCAAGAATCTCATCTGTCATCTGTTCATTTTTTCTTCTTCATCTATTTTCCTTTGGATTATCTTGTTTGCTGATGTCACTAAAGCTTCTCTTAGTGTGTTCCACTTAGAGTATTCATTTTCATTTTGTCCCTCACATCTACTTTTCACACTGTCCATATATTTTTCCTTCAGATGCAGGTCGTTTAAGTATGTTGTATTACAATTTGGGTGCTGCCTTAGGCCTCTTCAATTTCTCTAGTTTCATTCTAAAAAGAAGAAGGAAAGGAGAGAAGGAGGAAAGAAAAAGATGAAAAGAAAGGTCATTCATCAAGGACCCATTTTTCTCCACGTTCATTGAATTTTAGAAAGAAGAAGAATGTATTTCACCATCTCTCATCTTGCTTAGAAGAAGGTCCCCCATGAAGAATTGAAGATTCTTGCGAAGAATGAAGATAAAAAGAAGATGGTCTAAAAGAATGAAATCTTTGAAATTCTTCTGTACTTTGAATGTCAGTGTATAAAGAATGATGGATATGTTGAAAAAGAAGAAGAATTCTCTCCACCTGCATATATAATCCTGTGTTTATCAGTAACAAAATCTCCATTGTTTGTCCACCTCATTTCAAATATTCCTAAAATGTTGACATTTAACCTATTCATCTCCTGTTTTATATTTTCCAACTGGCCACGCAGGTTTAATCTTCTAATATTCCAGGTCCCAAGAAAGAAGAAGAATGTAAAAAGTTGAAGAATGATAGTCAAGAAGAAGAATGTCATTCATGTCCCTTCCTACCAGGTGAGGGATCAATTCCGAGGAATTTGGCTCTGATTGTGCCAATTATACTAACAGTCACTGGATGACTGTCAGGTGATACCTGCTGCATATGTCACTCTTTACAATGCAATGAGTTAATTCCAAAAGACTTAACCTTCTTCATGCCATTAGCTTTGATTTGGTTCTACAGAAGGAGGCTGAGAATACGGAACAAAAAGGTTTTAAAAGAAAAAGAAACAAAAAGAAACTTATAAGAACATCAGAAAGACACATAAAAAGAAGTTCTGGGGAAGAAAATGAGAAGAAGGAGATCTTGAAAAAGAAGATATCTTAACAGATTGAAGAAGAAGAGAAAAAAGAAGAATAACTTTCATAGAAGAATGGCTTGAGTAAATGAATGACAGAACAGAAGTTTAAAAGAGATAATGAAAAAAAACGGGCAGGAAATTGTGGAGATGAATGATTGAAGAATGTCCTGAGGGGACATGGCACATAAAGAAAATTATAATGGTGCTTGTTTCTCCCTTTATTAAGAAGTACAAATTAAGAAATATACAGAGAGAAGAAATAAATGGACTAGAAGATTTGAATGCATCAAAGAAGAAAAGAATGTAGAAAGAAGAAAAATGAATGAAAGATAGATAAGTGAAAGAATTTCAGGAAATGAAGAATGACGAAAGTAAAAATTTTTTTTCAGAAGTAGAAAGAAAAAGAAATGAAGATCATTCATATTTATGAAAGAAGAAGATTTTGTTGAATGTTGTTAAGAAAATGTTTAACAATGTAGAAAGAAGAAGAATGACGAAGAAGAATGACGAAAGTAGAACTGAATTGAAGAAGAATGTAGAAAAAAGAAAATTCCTGAAGAAAAAAAAAAAAAAAAAAAAAAATGTGCAAACAAAAGGAAGAAAAGAAGAGAAAGAAGAAGAAGAATGAAGAATGACAAAGAAAAAGAATAAAGAAGAATGAAAGAAGAAATATCCTCTAGAAAGAAGAAGAATCCAAAGAAAGAAGAAAAATACAGTTCAGAATTTAAAGAAAGAAGAAATACAAAAGATGCCTGAATAATGAAGAAATATACAAGAGCTGAAGAATTGAAGAAGAATGTAGAGAGAAGAAGAATAAATTATCCATGTAAAGAAAAGAATAAAAAATGTAGAGATCCAAATGAAATGCAAAAGAATCATTGTAATTTTTTTTAATAATGACGAAAGTAAAAGAAATTCAGAAGAATTCTGAAATGAAGAATGAAGAAAGAATCAAACCTTAAAAAGAAGAAGGAAGAAGAAGAAAGAAAGAAAAGATGAAAAAAGAAAAGTAGAAAGAAGAAGAATAAAAAAGAATGTAGAAAGAAGTAGAAATAATAATGAAGAATGACGAAAGTAGAAGAATGAAGAAAGAAGTAGAAAGAAGAAGAATGAAGAAGAATGTAGAAAGAAGAAAAATGAAGATAAAAGAAGAATGAATCACAAAAGAAGAAAGAAGATAAAAGCGTAGAAAGAAGAAGAATGAAGAAGAATAAGAAAGAAGAAGAATGAAGAAAAAAGAAGAAGAATGAAGAAGAATGAAGAAGAATGTAGAAAGAAGAAGAATGAAGAAGAATGTAGAAAGAAGAAATATGTAGAAAGAAGAAGAATGTAGAAAGGAGAATGTAGAAGAATTTAGAGAGAAGAAGAATGTAGAATAATGTAGAGAGAAGAAGAATGAAGAAGAATGTAGAGAGAAGAAGAATGTAGAATAATGTAGAGAGAAGAAGAATGAAGAAGAATGTAGAGAGAAGAATGAAGAAGAATGTAGAAAAGAAGAATGAAGATAAAAGAAGAATGAAGAAAGAAGTAGAAAGAATAAGAATGAAGAAAGAAGTAGAAAGAAGAAGAAAGAAGAAGAATGTAGAAAGAAGAAGAATGAAGAAGAATGAAGAAAGAAGAAAGAATGTAGAAAGAAGTAGAATGAAGAAGAATAAAGAAGAATGAAGAAGAATGAAGAAGAAGAAGAATGAAGAAGAATGTAGAAAGAAGAAGAGAAAGTAGAAGAATGACGAAAGAAGTAGAAAGAATAATGAAGAATGACGAAAGTAGAAGAATGAAGAAAGAAGAAGAATGAAGAAGAATGTAGAAAGAAGAAAAATGAATGTAGAAAGAAGAAGAATGTAGAAAGAAGTACAATGAAGAAATAAGCAGAGAGAAGAAATAAATAGAAAGAAGAAGAATGTAGAAAGAAGAAGAAAGAATAAAGAAAGAAAGAAAAGAGAAGAAGAAAGAAAGAAGTAGAAAGAAAAGAATGGAAGAAAGAAAGAAAGAAGAAGAATGAAGAAGAATGTAGAAAGAAGAAGAATGTAGAAGAATGTAGAAAGAAGAAGAATGTAGAAGAATGTAGAAAGAAGAAGAATGACGAAAGTAGAAAGAATAATGAAGAAGAATGACGAAAGTAAAAGAATGAAGAAGAATGTAGAAAAAAGAATGAAGAAAGAAGTAGAAAGAATAAGAATGAAAAAGAATGTAGAAACAATAAGGAAGAAGAAGAATGTAGAAAGAAGAAGAAGAATGAAGAATGTAGAAAGAAGAAGAAGAATGAAGTAGAAAGAATAATGAAGAAAGAAGAAGAATGTAGAAGAAAGAAGAAATAAAGAATGAATGAAGAAAGAAAGAATGAAGAAGAAAAGAAGAGAAAGAAGAAGAATGAAGAAAGAAAAGAAAGAAGAATGAAGAAGAAAGTGAAAAAAAAAAAGAAGAAAAAAAGAAAAATGTAGAAAGAGAAGAAGAATGAAGAAGAATGAAGAAAGAATGAAGAAAAAGAAGAAAAGAAGAAAAGTAGAAAGAATAATGAAGAAGAATGACGAAAGTAAAAGAATGAAGAAGAATGTAGAAAGAAGAATGAAGAAAGAAGTAGAATGAATAAGAATGAAGAAGAATGTAGAAAGAATAAGAATGTAGAAAGAAGAATGAAGAATGTAGAAAGAAGTAGAAATAATAATGAAGAATGACGAAAGTAGAAGAATGAAGAAAGAATGTAGAAAGAAGAAGAATGAAGAAGAATGTAGAAAAAAAGAAAATGAAATAAAAAAAAAAAGAATGAAGAAGAAAAGAAGAAAGAAGAAAAAAGAAAGAAGAATGAATGAAGAAGAAGAAGAATGAAGAAGAATGAAAGAAAAAGAAGAAAGAAGAAGAAAATGAATGAAGAAGAATGTAGAAAGAAGAAGAATGAAGAAAAATGTAGAAAGAAGAAAAGAAGAAAGAAGAAGAATGTAAAAAGAAAAGAATGAAGAAGAATTTGAAAGAAGAAGAATGAAAGAAAGAAGAGAAAGAAGAATGTATGAAGAATGTAAGAGAAGAAGAATGAAGAAAGAAAATGTAGAAAAGAAGAAGAAGAAGAATGAAAAAAAGAAGAATGAAGAAAAAAGAAAATGAATGAAAGAAGTAAAAAAAAATAAGAATGAAGAAAAAATAGAAAGAAAAAAGAATGAAGAAAGAAGTAGAAAGAATAAGAATGTAAAGAAAAGAAGAAAAAATAAGAAAGAAGAAGAATGTAGAAAGAAGAAGAATGAAGAAAGAAGAAGAAAGAAGAACGTAGAAGAATGAAGAAAGAAGAAAAATGAAGAAGAATGTAGAAAGAAGAAGAATGTAGAAGAATGTAGAAAGAAGAAAATGTAGAAGTATGTACAGAGAAGAAGAATGAAGAAGAATGTAGAAGAAGAAGAATGACGAAAGTAGAAGAATGAAGAAAGAAGTAGAAAGAATAAGAATGAAGAAAGAAGAATGAAGAAGAAAGAATAATGAAGAATGAAGAAAGAAGAAGAATGTAGAAAGAAGAATGAAAAAGAATGAAAAAAAGACATGATATAAAGAATAGAAAAAAGAAGAATGAAGAAGAATGTAGAAAGAAGAATGAAGATAGAAGAAGAATGTAGAAAGATGAAGAAATAAGATGAATGAAGAAAAAGATGAATAAAGAAAGAAGAAGAATGTAGAAAGAAGTAGAAAGAAGAAGAATGAAGATGAAGAAAGAAGAAGAATGTAGAAAGAAGTAGAAAAAAGAAGAATGAAGAAAGAAGTAGAAAGAATAAGAATGAAGAAGAAGAAGAAGAATGAAGAAGAAGAATGAAGAAAGAAAGTAGAAAGAATAAGAAATAAGAATGAAGAAAGAAGAAGAATGGAGAATGAAGAAGAATGTAAAAAGTAGAAAGAAGAATGAAGAAGAATGTAGAAAGTAGAAAGAAGAATGTAGAAAGAAATACAATGAAGAAATAAGTAGAAAGAAGAAGAATGAAGAAAGTAGAAAAATGAAGAAGTATGTAGAAAGAAGAAGAATGACGAAAGTAGAAGAATGTAGAAAGAAGTACAAAGAATAATGAAGAAGAATGACAAAAGTAGAATGAAGAAGAATGTAGAATGAAGAAGAATAAAGAAATAAGTAGAAAGAAGAAATGACGAAAGAAGAAAAATGAAAAAAGAAGAAATAATGAAAAAGAAAGAATGAAGAAAGAAGAAAAATGAAAGAAGAATGAAGAAGAAAGTAGAAGAATGAAGAAGAATGAAGAAATATGTAGAAAGAAGCAGAATGAAGAAGAATGTAGAAAGAAGCAGAATGAAGAAGAATGTAGAAAGAAGAACAAAGAAGAAGAATGAAAGAAAGAAGAATAAAGAAGAAAGAAAAGAAGAAGAATGAAGAAGAAGAAAGAAGAATGAAGAAGAAAGAATAAGAAGAATGAAGAAAGAAAAAAGAATGTAGAAAGAAGAAGAATGTAGAAAGAAGAAGAAAGAAGAAAGAAAAAGAAATGTAGAAAAGAAGAAAAGAAGAAAGAAGAAGAAAAAAGAAGAAATTTAGAAAGAAGAATAAAAAATAGAAGAAGAAGCAAATTAGAAAGATGAAAATATAAGAATAATTTTAAAGAAAAAGATTTTCTTCTTATTAAAGAAAAAGAAGAAGAATGAAGAAAGAAGTAAAAAGAATAAGAAAGAAGAAGAATGAAAAGAAGTAGAATGAAGAAATAAGTAGAAAGAAGAAGAATGAAGAAAGAAAAGAAAGAATAAGAATGAAGAAAAATGAAGAAAGAAGAAGAATGAAAAGAAGTAGAAAGAAATAAAGAAAGAAGAAGAATGAAGAAGAATGTAGAAAGAAAAGAAAGAAAGAAAAGAAGAAAGAGAAAATGAAGAAAGTAGAAGAATGAAGAAAGTAAGAAGAATGAAGAAGAATGTAAAAAAGAATGAAAGAAGAATGAAGAAAGAAGAAGAATGAAGAAAAAAAAGAATAAAGAAGAAGAATGAAAAAAGAAAAAAAAAGAATGAAGAAAATGAAAGAAAGAAGAAGAAAGAAGAAAAAATAGAAGAATGAAGAAAAAAGTAGAAAGAAGAAGAATGAAGAAATATGAAGAAAGAAGAAGAATGAAGAAAAATGTAGAAAGAAGAAGAATAAAGAAATAAGCAGAAAGAAGAAGAAAAAGAAGAATGTAGAAAGAAGAAATAAGAAAAGAATGTAGAAAGAAGAATAAAAAGAAGAATGAAGAAAGAAGAAGAATGAAGAAGAATGTAGAAAGAAGAAGAATGTAGAAAGAAGAAGAATGAAGAAAATAGAAAGAATAAAGAAGAAGAATGATGAAAGTAAAAGAAAAGAAGAATGTAGAAAGAAGAAGAAAGAGAAGAAAGAAGAAAGTAGAAAATGAAGAAGAATGAAGAAGAATGTAGAAAGAAGAAGAAGAAAGAAATATGAAAAGAAAGAATAAAGAAAGAAAATGTAGAAAGAAGAAGAATAAAGAAATATGAAGAAAGAAGAAACAAAGAAGAAGAATGTAGAAAGAAGAACAAAGAAAGAAGAATGTAAAAGAAGAATGAAAAAAGAAAAAAGAAGAAAGAAGAACAATAAAAAGAAATGTTGAAAGAAGAACAATAAAGAAGAATGTAAAAAATAAGAACAATAAAGAAGAATGTAGAAAGAAGAACAATAAAGAAGAATGTAGAAAGAAGAATAAAGAAGAATGTAGAAAGAAGAAGAATGAAGAAGAATGTAGAAAGAAGAAGAATGTAGAAAGAAGAAGAATGTAGAAAGTAGAAAGAATAAAGAAGAAGAATGATGAAAGTAGAAAGAAAGAAGAATGTAGAAAGAAGTAGAAAGTAGAAGAAAGAAGAAAGTAGAAGAATGAAGAAGAATGAAGTAGTAAGTAGAAAGAAGAAGAATGAAGAAATATGTAGAAAGAAGAAGAATAAAGAAATATGTAGAAAGAAGAAGAATAAAGAAATATGTAGAAAGAAGAACAATAAAGAAGAATGTAGAAAGAAGAACAATAAAGAAGAATGTAGAAAGAAGAATAAAGAAGAATGTAGAAAGAAGAAGAATGAAGAAGAATGAAGTAATAAGTAGAAAGAAGAAGAATGAAGAAGAATGTAGAAAGAAGAAGAATAAAGAAGAAGAAATGAAAGAAGAAGAAAGAAAGAAGAATGTAGAAAGAAGAAGAATAAAGAAGAAAGAAGAAAAAGTAGAAGAATGAAGAAGAAAAGAAGAATGTAGAAAGAAGAAGAATGAAGAAATATGTAGAAAGAAGAAGAATAAAGAAGAATGTAGAAAGAAGAAGAATAAAGAAGAATGTAGAAAGAAGAAGAATAAAGAAGAATGTAGAAAGAAGAAGAATAAAGAAGAATGTAGAAAGAAGAAGAATGAAGAAGAATGTAGAAAGAAGAAGAATGAAGAAGAATGTAGAAAGAAGAAGAATGAAGAAGAATGTAGAAAGAAGAAGAATGAAGAAGAATGAAGAAAGAAAAAAAAAGAAGAATGTTCCAAGAAGAAGAATAAAAAAGTAGAAAGAATCTAGAAAAGAATGAAAAAGCAAAAAATAAAGAAGAATATTTTGAAAAAAGATGAAAGTTTTCTTCTTATTAGAAGTAGAAAGAAGAAGAATGAAGAAAGAAGTAGAAAGAATAAGAATGAAGAAATATGTAGAAAGAAGAATGTAAGAAAGAAGAAGAAAGAAGAATAAAGAAATATGTAGAAAGAAGAAGAATGAAGAAAGAAGTAAAAAGAAGAAGAATGAAGAAGAATGTAGAAAGAAGTACAATGAAGAAATAAGTAGAAAGAAGAAGAATGAAGAAGAATGTAGAAAGAAGAAGAAAGTAGAAGAAAGAAGAAAGTAGAAAAATGAAGAATAAAGAAGAAAATGAAGAAAGTAGAAAAGAAAGAAGAATGTAGAAAGAAGAAGAAGAAAGAAAGAAAGTAAAGAATAAAGAAGAAGAAAGTGATAGAAAGAAGAAGAAAGAAGAAAGTAGAAAGAAGAAGAATGAAGAAATATGTAGAAAGAAGAAGAATAAAGAAATATGTAGAAAGAAGAAGAATAAAGAAATATGTAGAAAGAAGAAGAATAAAGAAATATGTAGAAAGAAGAACAATAAAGAAGAATGTAGAAAGAAGAACAATAAAGAAGAATGTAGAAAGAAGAACAATAAAGAAGAATGTAGAAAGAAGAACAATAAAGAAGAATGTAGAAAGAAGAACAATAAAGAAGAATGTAGAAAGAAGAACAATAAAGAAGAATGTAGAAAGAAGAATAATAAAGAAGAATGTAGAAAGAAGAAGAATAAAGAAGAATGTAGAAAGAAGAAGAATGAAGAAGAATGTAGAAAGAAGAAGAATGTAGAAAGAAGAAGAATGAAGAAAGAAGAATAAAAGAAGTATGAAGTAAGAAAAAAAGAAGAAATTTCCATTTGACTATAAAAAATCTTGTTATCTAGCAAATTATAAAGGGCAAAAATATAACATGTTAATATTTTGAAAGGTGATGATTTTTCTTCTTATTGGTTGGATATCTGCAGTGAATAGGTGTCTCCCAACTCAGAAATCATCAGTATCACAGGGCAATCAGTACAGCCCACTCCCATCCTCAGAAAATGTGCCTGCTTTTATTGAGCCCAAAACATTAGCAGATGGCTAGCAAAATGAATTATTTGCATAACTAACACCATTCAACTATTTAGTTAGGGGAGCTGGAAGATATCTCTTTTATTCATGTCCTGATGACCCAGAGTTCATAGTGGCTCTTTTCTGGCTGGACACCAATTTTCTTTTTACAGACAGCACACTAGGCATCATCTCTTTCACTGAGTGGTTGGGTACCATTATTAGAGGTGATAGGCAGCTCATCCTACATTTTGTTTCTGCTACAAAAAGTTTAAATGTATGAATAATTTTGGTGACAGTAATAATTATATTTTCCTTAACATCTGGATAGTTGCAATAGTTTTTTCAGAAAAAAAAAAGACTGCTAATTGTTTGAGGTATTACATTAACTGTTAACTATGATAGTTTAAACTAAAATACTAGTAATTTCCATAACTCAGTCTTCTATATTGTCTATTACAAGAAATATAAAATTTTCAATTGTTTGTTAGAATTTTACTGCAACAATAGAATGTCAGATTCAGCATCTTTATCTCAAATATCATGCTGGATATTTACATGATTTACACTCAGACTATTGTCTGAGACATCAATATTATTATTACAAACTTTCAGCTGTTGTGCCATCTGGCCTTCATTCGGTGCTTGCCAATCTGAGTAACCTTCATGGAATTACAAATTGAACCCTTTATTAAATTGAGCAGAAGAAAACCACTTATCTTCCAAAAGGTTGAGCGTGTGCGCCTGCCAATACCATTGGCTCCATGATGTAAAGAAAAACTGGATAGATTCATTCTGTCATTGATAACAAAAGTTGATGGAATAACGTAGATGTGCTGGCTACAGATTAGTGTACCTATCTTCAAACACATATAAAGTCAGTGTCAGTGAACAAGAGGACAAAGCAAGCCAACTGCTGGGAGAGTGAATTTGCAGCTACTTGAACTTATGGATCTGTGAATATGTGACAGTTTGCTACATAAATCTATAGGAGTATATTGTTCTCATTTTGCTGACCATGTCAAGAGTTGTTTTGTATTTAATATTAAACTAACACTTACCATGTTACAAAATTCATAAACCAACACTTTAACCCACTAGGTTATTGTTCTGTAGGACAATACAGAGAATGTAGAAGTTGGAGCCTTAAACCTAATTTGCTACCTGCTGAAAATGCTGCTTGTCACACTTAACTGCATTCACCAAAGATTCTCTTTTCTTACTGCTACTGAAGACTTACTGCCATTCTTTTCTTCTTCCCACAGAACAAATGGATTTAAACCCAGAGGATTAAAGTACTGGTTTGTGAATTTGGTGGCATAATAATTGTGGGTTCAATCTCTGGACTGGGTAGTGCAGACTTAGAGAAAATAAGCCAAGCAATAAGTGAGCAGTACTAAATAAGAACTAGACAAGATATCCCTACATATGCTCAGCAGCATAAGAACAATCTACTCCTATATATTCAATAAAGGGTTCAGTTTGAAACTTCCTGAAGGTTACCAGGATCAAAAATCACCTGAAATGTTTTGATAACAAAATCAATTGCCTGAATGTAAATAAAGAAAACTCTTCATCCTAGATATTCAAATAAAAACTTTATCTATCTTTATCGTTTTATATTTGTGGAAGGGTGAATAGCTTATTTTTTGGGGTGAATACATTTTTTTTTAATCATTTCACCCCAAGCAAGGCAATAAATCCACTAAGAGTCAAGCAAATACTGAATGTGAGAGAATATAAGAAAAAGAAAACATTAAGGAGAGAGAAGAATAAAATAACAGGAATTAAGAAGACAGAAGATAACAATTGACATTACATTTAAATTTTTGAAAATCAAAGTTGACTGGAAAGCAAGAAGCCAGAAGAGAGTTCCACAAGCAAGAAGTACGAGAGAAGAAACTGTCATATATGGTTATAGCCATTTCAACTGAAAAATTATGAGACCTTGCTGCCAATCTATGACTGAGCTTAAATTCACAAAGTCTAGGTACCAAAGAACAATCACCATGTAAATATTTATGTAAAAGGCAGAGAGCAAGCTATGTTACGAAAGCTGAGATGTCAGGTCAGTACCAATAATATTGTACATTCTCTTTTGTGTTTTATCTAGAACCTCTAAATGTATAGCAGAAGAACCAGACCAGATGTGACAGCAATATTAAATGCATTTAGATCAAAACAAACCAAAACTTATTTTTATTAAAAAATTGTATCAACAACAAACCTGAAACAGGAAACAATATACAAAACTTGGAATTACCATGTTAGTTGTTGTACCTACCTAGTAGGTTAGAATTTGTAGGTAACCATATAGTAGTAAGCCTACCTGACTGGTAGTATCACTTCTCTCCTTTGGTACTGTTGTAAAGTACGAAAGGTTTTTCTGCCTCTGTATAAGTTTGAATCCCTTGTCGCCAAGTTGTTATGTAGTGGTTTCACAGTGGAGGCTTGTATTTGTACTAAGTCGGTTCGACGTACAAAACGTTAGGAACTTGATATAATAGGTAATGACGCAGTAATCTAGTTGTGGTGGCTGATACTTTAATATCCGACTAACGGTTGTCCGACATCAACTGACTGACCAGCTCACTCAGCGACTGCTACTCCTACTTATTATAGGTGGGAGAGTTTATTAACTATAGAATAAGTGTGTTCCACTATAACAGGTACATTCTGTGGCATTATTTTTGCCTCAGCAATGTATTAGAAATGTTATGCTCAGAGTATTAGTTGACTATTAGTTTTTTTTTGTTTTTTTTTTAGGTCATTCGTATACTTCAAATGTCAATTTATATGCAAGCAGTTTAAGAAAGTCTGATTATTTATGGTTCCCATGTATATCCTCTTCTAAAGTTCACAATAGCCAAGATTATGAATAATGACGACTTTTTGTCACCTGGATTATATAGATTGATCTAACAGAATTTTCTAGAAAACTAATCTTTACATCAGGTGGAGTTGTACCAAATATCATTCAATTTTGTATGGAGGAACGTCCTTATTGATCTAGCTAAGCTTCTTAGTTAACAAGCCTATTGTCTTTCCTTGCATTCTAGACTTTTAAGAAGAATCAATTCTTGTCCCTAACTTCCTACTGTCAAAGTTTGTGAACAAATAGCATTTACTAAACAACCGTGTCTTGGAATTCCTCTCTTAAAAGAGTGAGAGGTATTTTAATTCTATCTCCATTGAGACCAGTAAAAATATTTGAAAGAGAATAACTGTATGGAAGAAAAAAGTGATAAGAAATTCCATGCTTACCACTAGATAAGAGTCCAGGAACTTCATCTGAACGACTGAAGAAAACATTTTCTGGTAATAAATGTATGACTTTGAACAAGGCATGATGAGTACAGAGAGTAAATGATAGCACACAGCCAGGAATCATCCTCAAATGCTCACAATCTGGAAAAAAGAAAAATCAATCAAGGTTACTAACATCACATTTAATATTTAACAAAGCAAGTTTTACAAACATGAATACTAAATAAAGTATTCTTAAAAATGAGATTCACAACTTTTATTTAAATTTTTGCATAAAAAAAAAAAAAAACAAACAAAAAAAATCAAAAATATTAATATACCTTTAATTTTAAACTTGAAATTTATTTAGAATATATATATATATCTATCATTTAGCAAATGATTGGATTTAAAAATATAAGTACTTTTTGGCATTTTTTCTTTAAGTTTATTTATGCAAATGGTGCAACCAGAGAGTTTGAAGATAAAAAAAAAATAAAAATAAAAGACTAACTTGATTTTACTGACTAAGTTGTCACTAAAGGAATGTATAATTATCACACAAGTACTGCTCACAAAAGGCTGCAACAAAAATTGATGGCATTCAATTTTGGTTAATACTTTATATATAAATTGTAATATTATTCATTTCCTTACAAGTAAACATTTGGCATTCATTGACTGAGCAGCTAGTACTGTTTAAGATTTAAATTTATAAAATCTTTCTTTTAAAACAAATTTTCAAGAAAACAAGTTTCTCAAGCCCAGCATCCGTTATCACTCTTTCCAGTACTGACTGGGGGTTGGGGATCCTTCCTAATCTCTTCTTTGATTCAATTGTTGGGTTTAAAGGCCTATCAACCTTCGTTAGGTCATTTCATACAAAATAAAATTTGACTGGCCATCATGGTTTGTCTATTAAATTTAATTTGTGAATAATATTTTACTATTATTTAGTTGAAAGCAATAACCTTTGTAAAGGAGTTCATGAATTTTATTTGGAGATTATTTTCTTTCGTTCATCTATTTATTTGTCAATATTAGCCATTGCTTAAATTTTTTAATATATCTTGATTTCCTTAAGAAATTTAATTATTTTATTTGGATCAATCCTTTTGAAGAGTTCATTCATATTGTTTGCTTGATATTTTTCATGAATTAGCCTTAAAGCTATACATTTTATAAGTATGCATTAAACTGTATATTGTTCATTATATGTATAGCACATAGGTGGATCTTCTTGTTTTAGTATGCAGCTGTGGGTAATAAAAGCGTGGCCAAGTCTAAGTCTGAGCTAGTACTGATTCCTCTTTTCTTATTTTTCTATAACTGGTTTGTCATTCTTTGATGTCTGGCTGGATTCTATAAAGTTTATTATTTATGTGTTTGTTCCATTTTTTTGCCATTTGTTCATGATGAATTCTTTGATAATCAGTCTTGAGAGGTTCTTTTTCAATGCTTTTCTTGCTTCTTTGTCAGCATTCTCATTACCGCAAATGTTAGTATGGTCAGGTATCCAACATCGTGCTTTGTTTTGGCTTTTATTTACTACTTTTGTGGTGATCGGATTTGTTGTTTTTTTATTGCCATAAGTGCCGAGAAAGAATCGGAGAAAATAATAAATTTTGTATTTTAGCTATTTCTTATTAGGTCAAGAGCTAAGTTGATGGCTGTAATTTCTGCTGTCTATATTGAAGCATTATGTAATTGTTTTGCAATTTTTTTTATTGCCAAGTATGGCAGTACATCCAACTTCCTTTTTTTGATCCATCCATGTAAAGTTGAGTGTGACCTGGATGTGTGTTTATTCTATCAAGCATTGATATATAATTGAGTTGGTTGTGTTTTTTGGATATCTTGATATGTTTATTATTTTTGGTTGTTTAGTAAACCATGGCAGTATTTCTGAGGTAATGGAATTGTGTAGGATGTTAGTATTTATTTGGGTTTCTGAAAGGATTCCCTCATTCATAAACTGAATGGGTTTGTAACCTTTTCTCTTTGATCACAGAGCTTTGTACATTGAGAGTATAAAGAGTGTGTCAGGTTTGAGGGGTACGAATTGAGTTTAAGATAGTACTGGTGATCCAATTTTTGCCCTCTTGGTTCCAGGAGCATTTCATATGTATATAGACTTTCCACTGGTGCAGTGCTATAGGCCCCAAGTGCTAATCTCAGGCCTTGGTGATGAATAGTATTTTATGTTTTGAGGTATGTTTTTCTAGCTGATCCATATATAAAACATCCATAGTCCAACTTATTAATGCTCTATATAATCTTAACTGTGTCTTTTTCTCAGCACCCCAGTCTCTATGTGCTACCATTCTCAGCACTTGTAAGGCTTTGTTACATTTTTCTCTTAGTTTCTTTATATATGGTACAAACAACAGTTTTTTGTCAAAAATGATAGCCAATAACTTATTTCATCTACAACAGGTTTTGTAGAGTCATCGTTTTAAGTGTTGGATCATTGCGTAATTTTCATAGCTGACAGAAATGTATGGTTTTGTTTTTTTCCTTGGAGAACTTAAAACCATTCTCCATAGCCCATCTGTTTATTTTGTTGATACATAGTTGGAGTTGCCTTTCTATGCAGCTTATATATTTGAAACCTATAACATTAAAAACTCGTCTACAAAAAGCGAGCAATCTGTTTCAGTGTTAATGATTTAGCAAATATTATTTATTTTTTTTATGAAAATACTAGTTAATGATTGACATCATCTTGCTAAATGAAAATTTTGCCTACACATGAAGAATCAATTATTATTGTAATACTAAAACAAAACTGAGGACATTCTTCTTCTTTGTGTAATAAACATTCCAGATTTGAATGATCATGGCTTTAACACAACTTCCTTTGTAGAACTAATGTTTGTTTTTTCACCATCCCCCTACTGTTCTGCCATCCAGTCATATAAGCTGTCAGGTAGGTGGCCCATTGCTAACTACTGCCCCTTTTGCCTTCAATATATCCTGTGAGTGTCAAATTTTCCAAACCCTCTTTCTTCATTATACATCCCAGAAATTACACAACTGTCTCTTTCTGATTCTAAATGTGCTTTTTGTTTCCATTTTCCTTAAAAATTACTTCTTGCTTATACACTGTATTCTCAGAATCCTTCTGTAAAACTATATTTCTGTTGCATCAAGTCTTCTCTTTATCTGTGAGGAACAAATAAAATTAATTAAGCATATATTAATTTTTATTTTCAGAAAGAAAAAACATAAAATATAAACATAATAATACAAAAGAACCTAATACTCACTTTCTACTGGTTCATCCATCAGATAAAGAGCACGGGGAGTGCCTTTATAGAATTGCAATCTGAAATAATCAGCATTCCATGTATTTATTTAATCCAAATTGTTAGAAAAAAAAAAAAAATACAGAATTCTTTTTTTTTCTTTTTTTATCTCTGTTTTTTTACTTTTATAATTGCTAAACAGTGTAAAATCCCAAAATGAAAGATTCGTTTTAAAATAAAACATCTATTTGTACAAAATAACATATCCAACAGACCAAGCATAAGCAATCCAACTCATCATGATGTGGAATATGGATTTTTTCTTTTTTCTATCAAGATAAAACATTTTCAAACATTCTGCAGCAAGATAGATTTTATTTAACTCATCCTTATTGTTTCCAGATAGATTTCAGAAACTAACAATAAACACCAGGGAGTACTTAACTATGGAATAACAGAAACATACTCAAATAAACACCATGTAATTCAGTCCTCTAAATCACAAGGGGTGAGATGCTTAAATGTTGAGAGGAAATTAAATGTCAACAAAGTGGATTTGTGGTAGTATAGCAGTAAATGGTGTGGAAACTGAAATCAATAAACAAAGTTCAAATTCCAACTGAGCCAATTATGTTCATTTTTCATTAAGGCATGAATCTATCTATTCCCCCACTCCCAGCTATGAGTAGAATAGCAGGATAGAATGGGCTCTCTAACTTTAGTTGACAACAAGCCTAGGAGAACTTAGAAATCAGACCTATTGGAATGTTGGACTACCAAATCCACTCCATAAAACCTACTTGCTACTGAAACTGAAATAGTAATAATATG